CGTATCACTTCGCTCATATGCCATGTAATTCATTCTGGTAATCTAACTCAGAGCTCTGTACCAACAACCACACCGAGTTGAAAGTAACGCTAATCCAAGGTTTTATCACAGAGAAAGACAAGGTCCTCATATGCCATGGATTAATTTATATTTCATGGGCATCTGTCTGCAGATAGATTCCAGACCCTGAGATCCGATTGATTGTATGTGCAGGGTCTTACAATATTCATTATTAATTTCATAGAGTTTCACAAGCTAGTGTCTAAGAGTTTTCTTACATCAATAATAAGACCTTCTTCACAATGGCCACAGGTTCATAGATCCGTCCAGCAGTACAGGCTTCTTCAAGCAAGACCACTCGTGAAACAGAAATAAACCATTTGGACACTCAGTACACTACAACGCTGAGTATTTAGCAGATCAACGCGTCAACTAGTGTCATAATCACGTCAACTCTGCATCATTATTCTACAGTATACATGAAAAACACGCAAGTGATCGACGCAACCATACGCATCAATATATGACAAAGAAAAACTATGAATGTCTAGGTGTACAATTAGCCAAATTATGAGCCCATTAAAGTGTACACCCCCCCCCACACACACCTTTTTAGTGATGTGATTAAGTGATGTTACAATTACAAAAGATCTGGTACAATGCAACCACTAGATGCTCCTTCCGTGAACGAGCACCAATATCTTCTTCGCACTGCTGGGGTTAAGGCAGCAGTCTCCCAGTCTCTCGCCGCTCTTGGCTTGCAATCAGCCAGACGGTCTGCAGCTGGCCATGCCTCTGCATGCAGTGCACTCCTTCAGTATGAGCTGTGTTGTATAATCTTGATATGAAGCGTTCGTGACTGCAGGAATCCATACTCTGGTTCTTTCGGTAAAGTCACGGAGATAGAAAAGATAATAATAGAACACGACGTTTCGGTCGCAACACAAGCGTCCGTCATCAGGTGAGAAATAATAATCTGCTGTTGTAGTTTTATATCGGCACGGGGGGGGGGAAGGGAGGGGTTTTGTAGAGTAAAATTAGCATGTCAATGAGATTAAAATTTTGAGTTTTGACTTAAAGCTGTCGTGGCTGCAGGAGTTCAAGGGGGCGGGAGGGTTTGTGGCGTGCAGGGACGGATGGGGGCTGGATAAATTAGCATGTCAATAAGATTTAAATGTTGAGTCTTGAATTAGTAAACGCGACAATACACAACGATAGGAAAGTGCTTAAAATGACTATTCATACGGAACCGTGCTAAAAAAACAGGTGCCAAATTGCAAAAAGGGACATCAAATAATTCATTGGTAAGATTATGTGATTTAAAATAAATGTTTCAAAACAATAGTGTGCATGCGAGTGTGTAGATTTGTAACATAGGTTATTATCAAATGGCTAGTGGACATCAATGAATTCGCGGGCAAGATTACATGATTAAAATAAATATGTCAAAACAATTAAATTAATGCGAGGTGTGTAGATGCGTAATATAGATGCTTATAAAAGTTTAGTGTGACATCAATGAATTAATTGGTACGATTATGTGATGAAAATTAAACAAATGACTCACATTTTTTTAACGACCGTATTCAACTTAAGGGACAGAACAATGCTTCTCCACGACCAGTTAATAAGTCGTTAAAATCCGCCACCACCCGACAGCCAACTAGTAAAGGTTGTCACGTTAATAGAACATGCCAATTCGTTACTAGTACAGCTGTGGGGGCTAACGCCCCCTCTTACTCTTCCCTTTCCACCTCCTCTCCTTCCCACCGGGCTGCCGCCGATCAGGTGATCGGCCTCCCTGCACCAGCGTCCTCTCTGTGGGGCATGGCTAGTGGCTGGCTCCCCACTGCCTCGGGTTATCCCAACACCCTCCCCACGTACACCCGCACTAATGCCGAGGTGGCGCAGGTTGCTCGCCAAGGCTCTCGCTAAAAATAGCGCGGCTGTCGTGCGAATGTGGGCGCAGGTAATGAGTTACTACGCAGCGCAACCTCACTCGCATGCACACTCGAATTACGCACCACGGCGACACCCGCAATGCAATCGTCGCTACGTAAACACACTGCGTAAAGCGCGCATTGCTATGCGGACACACTGCGTAAAATGCGCTTAGTAAACCCGCACGCGATTGCGCGCACTTGAACTAAAACGACGGTCGAGTGGACGATAATGTTCGCTCGTTTATCCCCTGTACAAACTCGCACGCGAGCGCAAGCCACGGGCACAACGCCGATCGTGTTGAAGATAATAAGATAATATTCTCGCGTTAATCCCCTGTGCAAACACGCACGTACTCACGCCACCCCTACGCTCTCCCCACACACACAGAAACCACATGGCGTCGTTGTTCTGTGCTCAAGTTTATTACTAGTTCGCCCGAAGAAAAAAAAACCTGCGTGACCCAGAGCAGAATACCCAGCGAGCCGCCTCCCACCTATTTCTATCCAAATCTTCGGGGAACCCTCGCGCTATTCCTCACCCCTCGGACGTACTCACGGTATCTCACGGACGTGCTGGGAGTCGGAGGGACGAGGGTTCGGGAGGTCTCTGCCTGGGTCGAGTTGTAGCTGCGCACGCCAGCATCTCTCGGACGCTCAAGCAGCTGGGAGTCCGACTGGGTAGCTGGCTCACTGGAGAAGAACTGCCCCAACCGTTTTCCTTTCCCCCCCTTTTTACCTCCATTCTTACCTCCTTATTCAAAAATCCCGTCTCGGGTCCGTCTTTCCTGCGCGGCCAATTGGGTCCCTACCTTTCGATTTTTCACCCGATGCCCCATCTCCACCTGGCATGCTGCTGCCGGTGGTGGTTTTTAACTATCCGGGAGGGGATGCACCGTAGAAACACAGTCGCATATTGTGCCAAGGGAAGAAACCACAGACACCATCTCAATCAACATTGTTGTATCACACAATCGTGCATTTTGTTACGTGTGTACCAAGTCACTTCTGAGACACTAATAATAGGAGACAAAACACGTTTATTCCACCCGGGACACTTGCTCACACACGGGATAACTACAAACGGGTCAGGGCAGCCGGCATAATGCCTGACCCATGACGCCGAGGAAATTAAGACGACAATGTAGCACGACGGGTATCATACAAACGACAGACCTGATCCAGCCTCGGGACTTCCCTTTCATGCCTCCCAGCGTGACCTAGCTCCGCCCTCGGCGACGCCCCCTTCTGCAACCCACCAGAAGTTTCTGGGCTATCCCCCAAGTGTCCCGTCAGTCACCTTTACCCCACATCCCTTACCCCGGCCTATCACGTGCCCTGTTCGCCAGCTGGGCTACTACACCCTCATATGCTCCTTTCTGCCAGCAACCAGCGCTAAGCACCCTTGTGACCCATTCCATGGCCTTGCATGCTCTGCTGGAAGATCAGCTGCTACACCCTGCTCTGCTGGCAGGTCGGCTGTTATCCCCACAATTCCCCTCTCTGTCAGTAACCAGCGCTATGTGCCGTAGTGACCCAGTCTATGTCACTACACGTGTATGTCTCAGTGTATATACAGCCGTCACATGTCCTATTTGGCAATTGTTGCAGTGACATCAACTCTGTATAAGTTTGGTGAGCAGTGAGGAACAGAATCTGGTTCACGAAAATGGCAGGAACCAATTGTTTAAGGTTTTCAATTGCAAAACGAAAATCAGCTTCACAGCCAGATGAAATAGTAATGTGACTTATTCTTGCTTTTTTCGGTAATAAAAATAAAATATAAATATTTAAAATATATTTTAAAAATATTTAAAAACACGACGTGTCGATCGCTTGTGATGTGATCGAAACGTCGTGGTTTTAGTTTATTTTAATTTTAGTTTTTATATATTTCTTATATTTCTATTACCGAAAGAACCAAGAATACGTCTACATTATAGACTGCCAATACGCTCACTCAGGTTAAGAACCAAGCTACAGTCTACATTTTAGACTGCCAGTACACTCTCCAAACTTAATTATCAGGCTACAGTCTACATTATAGACTGCCAGTACACTCACTCCGATTAAGAACCAGGCTACAGTCTACATTAGTGTTTTTTTATTGTTATTTTTTTATCTACGTGACTTTACCGAAAGAACCAAAGAATATGAATTTCTGCAGTCAGGAACGTTTTAAGTCAAAACAGAAGATGAACTTAGTGAATGCAATGAGAGAAACGCAGACCAACATACGATGGAAATTACTGCCCGAGGTCTCAAGATGAGACCGATGTGAAACACAGATGCTATCTCTGCTATATATGCACAATCTGAACCTGAAACTGAAAACAATATTGGGAACATTCTTTTGCGTGGTCAGATGATGTTGAAACCTGAGTTTCTGATTCATAGAATTGAGAGCCTTCATTTTAGCTGCAGTATAGAAATGAACGTTATTTTTAAGATAACATAGTTTTACTGTAGATTTTAAGTTTAAGTGACTGCAGGAATCCATACTCTCTGGATCGTTCGGTAAAGTCACGTAGGTATAAAATATAGAATACATTAAATCACGACGTTTTGATTGCAACACAAGCAATCATCATCAGGTGTGAAAACTACAGCAAGAACATTTTTAGCTGAACATTTTAAGCTGAAAATGTTCTTGCTGTAGTTTTCACACCTGATGACGATTGCTCGTGTTGCAATCGAAACGTCGTGATTTAATTTATTTTATATGTTATGCCTATGTGACTTTACCAAAAGAACCAAAGAGTATAGTTTTACTTATTAGATTAAAAAGGAACACAACAGATAGGTAGTCACCTGTTTTATTGCCACATTTTTCATGTGGAAATAGCTCTGTGGTATCGTTTTCTGTGAGTTGTTCTTTGACACGAAGGGTTGAACTGCTCTCTGAAAGCTCTGAATGGATACGGGGACTCGTGAGACGATGCCGGTAACACAATCGGGATTCACTTGCGAAAAATATGAAGCGATAATAATTGTGAATTTAACGAGGTACAATGTTGTTGTGATGTAAGATACATTTCATCGTGTGATTTTTTTTCCTAGGTCGCAAGAGTTGCAAATGGTTGTTCGATATCAGGTATGCTCTAAATTAGTTGCACTAAAAATCATGATTCAAACGTTTCCTCTGCACTATTGTGGAGGGGGTTGGGAAGGGTACAGGTGGACTATGGCGGGTGAGGTATGGGATACAAGGACAGAGAGGCACACAGCATCAATAAGAGAGAGGTACATATAGTTATAGACAACATAAAGATACATACATATATGTATGTCAAGTAAGGGCTCAAAGTACGCGGCAGGGGTTAGGTTCTGCGTATCCCCACGTACGTGCGAATTTGCATAAGTTGTGGTACGCCTATACGAGTGTAGATATAAAATGTAAGAGGGTATATACAATGAATACAATGTAAATACATGTGTAGTGGCATAGTGCTAGCTGCTGGCGAAAAAGGGGAACTGCGGTGTACAGCAGTACTGACGTCAGCAGGCTACGATAGACATGAGAGGGGGACATCTAGGGGAAAGGTCACAGAGGGGGGCCTATCGGGAAATCCTTTGAAACCCGCTAGTAGATTCCAGAGAGGGGGCGTGGCCGGGGTGGAGCGAGGCCACGCTGAGAGTATAATACGGGCCCCTGTGAGGGACCTCGGGGCTGTCGTTGGAGTGGAATCCCTGGCGTGCTGTTCAAGATAATCGCCATCGTCGCTGTAGTTTAGTTGCCATCGTCACTGTCGCCTTCACTCGATATTGTGCTGCTAGATAGTTGTTGGCTGTCTCGGTTCAGCACTGTCAGTGTTAGACGGTTAGTGTTTTGTATAGGCTAGCAACCCACGTTGCGTTGTGTATAGGCGAGTGACTGTAGAGTGTGAACCCATGTAGGTGTGCATAATCCGATGGTGCTCGTTAAATAAAAGAGGTGCCTCCAAGTCTTATTGTCTCCGAGTTAGTCACTACATTTGGCATGAGAAGTGCTAAGAAAAAGAAAATTTGTCATGTCAAAAGTGGCGAAAAGGAAGAACCCACCGGTATTGTTCTTGGAGGAGGAGAACCACGGGGACGTCATCCCCTCAACAGCCCCGGGATCTGGGACCACGGTCATCTGTCCCGAGGCTGTAGCACCTAAAGAGCGCCTGGCGGATGGCTCGCCTTCCACCGCCGCGCCAGCGCGGGAACTGGCGGGTTTCTCGCCCATGCAAGCGGCCGCCATTTCACCCACCGTGGGCGCGGCGCAGCAAGTGGCTGCCATTTTGTTGGCGTAGCGGGAACTGGTTCCCGCCAAATTCAAGATGCCATCGGCGCCTTCCGCGAGAGCGCCTGCCTACCCTCCGTGAGTTGGATGGGGCAGGAGGCGACGGGACGGTGTTTCAGAGCCACTTTGGGGCGGCCTGCGCCTTGATCGGGTGGTCTGACGAGGAGACTCTGCGACTCTGCCTCAGGCATGCGCTTGGCTGCCATTTTCAATGTGCACTGAAGGTTTGTGCTGCAGAGTTGGGGGGAGGCTGAGACACTTCTTGCCTTCTAAAGCGCGCTGCTGGCCTTGACGGGGGCGCCTTTTCATCGGAGGCGAGCCGGACGAGGCATGTCGTCCTTCGGGTGGCCACTGCCATGAGCCAGGCTGTGGTTTCAGCTGATCTGCGTTTCTTCCAGAAGCTGTGTTTTTGCACGGGTAGGGGGGGGGGAGGTGATGTAGTGGCATAGTGCTGGCTGCTGGTGAAAAAGGGGAACTGTGGTGTACAGCAGTACTGACGTCAGCAGGCTACGATAGACATGAGAGGGGGACATCTAGGGAAAAGGTCACAGAGGGGGGCCCATCGAGAAGCCTCCAGAACCTGCTAGTAGATTCCAGAAAGGGGGCGTTACCGGGCTGAGCGAGGCCACACTCGGGGCTGTCGTTGGAGTGGGATCTCTGTCATGCTGTTCAAGATCTTTTCCATCGTTGCTGATGTCTCGTCGCCATTGTCGCTGTCGTCTTCACTCGATATTGCGCTGCGAGATAGTTGTTCGCTGTCTTGGTTCTAGCGCCGTCAGTGTTAGACGGTTAGTATTTGTTTAGGCTAGCAACCCACGAAGTGTTGTGCATAGGGGAGCAACTGTAGAGTGTGTACCCATGTCGGGTGTGTATAATCCGATGGTACTCGTTAAAAATATAAGTACCTCCAAGTTTAATCGTCTCCGAGTTAGTCACTCCACATTTTTTATAGAGTACAGGACTGTAGAGTAAATTATTCACTACTCATCGGTAGCATCCAGGTCAGATAGAACACACATTTTTTGGACTCATTTCTTGAGCGAGCGATACAGTTATACGCCCTCAAATACATGTTCCCGTGATGGCGGGGATGATTTGACTCGCTTCTTGCCCCGTGCGTGTTGCACAAGTACAAGTCACAAGTGTCAGTATGAATCGGGGTTGGTCACGTATGAGTGGATCTGCGTACTCTAAGCCTGCGTACTCTGAGACCTGTATGTTGAACTTTATTTGCAAGTACGTAGCCAACCATGCTTATCAGAGATGCAGGGGAAGGAGAGAGTCGACAGAGATAGAAACGGATATAGTGGGATGGGCTGGAGAGATATACATGCAGGCACAGAGTCAAAGAAACAACCACAGAGAAACAGAGACAAGAATCAATACAGAAATGACACGCAAATAGACAAAGCAAAGCACAGAGAGATACACATAGAGGTCACACGAATTGTTGAAGTTTCACTGGCAGGAGGTCACGGGACAGACCCAGAAACTATGGGAGGTTTGCTTGAATATGTATGTTGAACTTCTTTGCGGATGCACCACCTGTGACCCCACCCCCCTCCGACTGCGAACTTGCTGTTATTTAGTCATCTGGTGCTTCACTCATTGTGAGTATTATTCCTCTGCCTTCCGTTATTTTTGGAGAGCGACTGTCTACAATTCCGTAGGAGTATTCTTCATGAGCTTCTTCCACAGAGGCCGATTTTGGCAACCCTCCACTCCCTGCACAACTGCCCCTTCACTCATTGGGAGAGTTGCAGGGTAAACTACAGTCTGTTCTCTTATAACGTGTGCTGTTTTCATAACGCGAATTGGATATAATGCGATGAATGTGTAATGACAGTGCAGAACGATAGCAGGACATTGTGGCTCCCCTGGACCATGGTTACTAATGGACGAGCTATTAATTAAATGGGAGCCATTGGCGGGGAAGGACTAGTTAATGAGGATTCATGAGCCGGGATCCAATGGCGGGGAAGTGTGAGAAGGACGTGAGCGGCAGGGCCAGGTGTGGTGAGGAGGATTGAGGTTTAGGGTGTGACCGGAGTGGGCGAGCATAAATAGCAGCGTGAGCGGAGGCTTGGGGCTGCTTGTTATGGGGAACTGCCATCGCCATCACCTTTTATCGGGTCGTCTCCATCGTCTGCGAGTCTCCTTAACATTGGAGGCTATGTTATCTCAGAAGGAGAGTGTTGTATCAATACCCAAGTGTACATAGTCACTCGCAGTTATGTGTTGAGTTGTTGTTGGACTTTATTCATAATAAATATACAGAAGACAAGACGGCGTCTCCGAGAGCTACATTACAGCGATGTCAGAAGTGACTATTTTTAAAATGCCGAAGATGGTAAATAGTAAGAACCCACCTGTAGCATCTTCAGAGAAGGAGAAGTGAGACGGCCATGGAGTTCGCCCAGCAGCCCCGGGAGCCGGGAGCCTGGTGATGAAGCCTGAGGGTGCCGAGGATGTGGCACCTGCGTCGGAGAAGTGCTGAGCCCTGATGGCAGAGGCGGATTGGCTCCGGTTGACTGTAGCTGACATGACGTTGAAGAAAAGAGTGGCGACTTCGGGAGCCGACATGGCTGGGGACGAGCCGCAAAGTCGGGCATGGATGGTGGAGTGTCCGCCTGCGATCGGGGTTCCCGCAGTCGGGGGCCGCCATTTCACGGGTGGAGACACAGCCAAAGGCCGCCATTTTGAAGTCTGTGCGGGAGGCAGTGATGATGGTGTCGTCTTGGACAGCGAAGTGAGGAGCCATCGAGCACCACGATGGTTGACATTAATTAAATAATTTACGGCGGCGGGGGAAGACTGGAGTGCCTTTACCCACTGGTTTTGAGCAATGTAGCAGTCTGTCGGCTGGATGGAAGAAGAGGCGCTATCTGCTTTGCCTACAGCTCTTGACGATGAGGGCCTCACGGTATTCTGGGCTATCCGGGAGGAGAGGAGATCCACGCTCCAGGATGCCTACAAGGAAATGTCAGCTGTGTACAATCCGCCGAGGGATGCTGGTAAGCGGGGGAGGCCCTACAAGGACGGACTTGGGGGCTGCATGGAGCGGATTATCCCGACTCTGGGAAGGAGGGACTGGCCGATCATCCAAGATTGTTGTGGAGCCATCGGAGGAAGAAGAGGAGTCTTCAGGGGGGAATGACAGTGGCAGATTGCGGAGGGGCTGGGCAGCAATGGGGTATGCTGGGATGGCTCCAGAAGTGGCGATCCCGGTCCGATTTGGTGCCTTCGTCGCGGGTGCCCTGGCTCGCCTGCTCAGCTGCAGCCAGCTTTGACCCTTCGTGATGGGAATGCCAAGTGTCATGGGGACATCATGGAACCCCCTGCGTCCACCGCCTTGTCGACAGCTACGGCCCAGCCCAGGCGAGTCGCGATGCACCAGACACCCGACTGCTAAAAATCACCTCATGCATCAGGGTCATCGGGGATGCGTCGAAGCCGAACTCGGTCACGCAGTGGAGACTGTTGGTGGGCCGAGTAGTGTAGGGTGTGTGGCTGGTTCATTGGGAATTGTATATGTTGTGTATGGGGTGAAATTATGAATTGTGTGTTGTGAGATGAGTGCCTTGAATTGTGGTTTTAGATTAAGGGATTGTGGAGTTTGGTTTTAGATTAAGGGACCGTGGAGTGTTCTGTGGTGATTGTGTGTAGGGCTTATGAAGGAATGGGAGCGTCGTAGCCTGTATCAGAATAGGGGAAGTGAGAATTGTGGTGCCAGTAATTGGATTTGGGATGCTGACTGTGACCTATTTCTGGGGAATAGATCCTGACCAGGATGCCCCTGCAATTGTTGCATGTCCAGGATGTGTTCCGATGCCGGGGGGGGTGGGGGCACGAATGTTACGAGGATCCCCCCCCCCCCCTCCATAGGCGAGCAGTAGTGAGTTCAGTAGTGGTCTCGTCCTGCTGTTGCAGACGGCTTGACCTGACGGCCCGGAGGTCGAGACCCTCCATGGCACATCTAGAGCTGTGGGCTGTGGGCTCACACTACTGGGGAGTGATGATCCCATCATGTGGCGACAGACGGCTAAACCTGATGGACCAGAGGTCGAGACCCTCAGTGGTGCATCTGAAGCAAGAGACTTGATCGGGCGGCCCGGAGGTTGAGACCCTTCAGGGTGCGTCTGGAGCAGTAGGTCCTATCTGACGGCCCTGAGGTTGAGGCCCTCCGTGGCACATCTGGAATAGTGGGCCGGAGGCTCGCAGAGCTCAGGGATAGTGGTCCTATTACATTGTAGCGAATGGGGAGACCTGGCTGGCAGGAGATGGGGGTTCTCCTTGGGCTGTTTGGAAGCAAAAAGGGCTGCGGACTCGTACCGCTCTGGGTGCTATCATTATCGAGGGGATGGGGGAACCGTTCCTGCAGATCCTATTCGGGGATACAGAAATTGCGGGGTTTCAGACGAAAATAATATTTCTGAAGGAGGTTAGTGGAATGCGACGGATTTGGGCCGAGTGCTGAGACGGAAGTGAATAAGGACACATGCTGAAAAGCATGGAAGGGTGAGTTGTGGCATTAATACTAAGTTGTTTGGGGTGCATGCGGTTCCTGTTGAGGGAATGTTGGCCGTGGAAATTCGCCTCTAGGGTGGGGTGGATGGGGTCCGGCCTCAGGAAGGGAAAAACCTTCCTTGTCTGTAAATAGTCAGATACTGTGATGTGTCGGAGTGTGTGAGTCAGAGGAGGTGTAGTACGGGATAGAGCATGGCTGAGTCGGTTACGAAGTGCCATTGCTTTAGTCCCCGAAATTTGCACCGGCCAGGTAAAGGGCCGGTGGAGGTCATGAAGTTGGACGGCCGCGGTCGGGCAAGGGCGAGTGAGATGTTGCTGCTGAGTTGCCATAAGTTGTGCTTGGAGCAGTATGTTGTCTTAGTCTTGCATCATTCATCACCAGTATTCTGCAGTCGGGGTCTAGGGTGTCGGATAGGCCAGGCCGGTGGGCCGGAGTAATCGGACGCCGAAGGATGTGTTGTTCTACCCCCAGTTGTGGATTCCTGGTGTCAGAAGTGCCCGAAGACCTCAAAACCCCCTCCGGGCTTGAGTGTAAAACCTCTTGGCCATTGACGGCCACAAATATGCCCGGGGAGAAGGACCGACTTCAAGTACTTGACATTTCGCTGACGGATCACCGTGATGTTGTTGTTTGTTGTGTTGTGGGCGTCCTAATATTCGAAATGTCCGTGGCTTGCAGGATGATCGCATAGGTTGCGTCCCCGTGTTGTTCAGGTTTTGGCGTTATTGTTGTGTTATGGGGTTGGTTGCGGTTGTCTGCATTGGGGTTCTAGAAATGTAAGTTGTTTTTTCAATTCTCAAACGATTGGTATGTGTTGTGTTAAATGGGTGATTCGACCTAGATAGATATTGTCTGAAATTGTGTTAGCCGAGGACGGCAATTTTTTTTTAAAGGGGGGGCATGATGTAATGACTGTGCAGAGGGATAGCGGGACAGTGTGGCTCCCTGGGACCATGGTTACTAATGGACGAGCTACCGGGACCATGGTTTCTAATGGATGAGACGGGAGCTAAAGGCAGAGAAGGACGAGTTAATGAGGATTCATGCACCGGGATCCAATGCGGAGAAGTGTTACTAATGGAAAAGTTAATGAGGATTCATGAGACGGGATCCAATGGCGGGGAAGTGTGAGAAGGACGTGAGTGGCAGGCCAGGTGCGGTGAGATCGATTTAGGCTTAGGGTGTGGCCGGAGCAGGCGAGCATAAGTAGCAGCGTGAGTGGAGACTTGGGGCTGCTTGTTGTGGGGAACTACCATCGCCGTCGCCTTGGATCGGGTCGTTTCCATCATCTGCGAGTCGTCTTATGATTGGGAGCTATGTTATCTCAGAAGAAGTGTTGTATCAATACCCAAGTGTACATAGTCACTCGCAGTTATGTGTTGAGTTGTTGAGAGAGCTACTTTACAAATGTATAATGGAAACATTTTTTATAACGTGGATGTGAGTTGGATAACACGATCAAGTGGATGGAAATACATCGCACGACTGGGAATAAGCGGTTGTACGGCTGCCTCGGTGTAGCATCACACAAGACATTGGGATGCTGCTGGATGCTTCTAGATGTTGGATGCTTCTTTGTTCTGCTTGCATACACATCTCACGTGTTATCGCGGACGGTACTTTGCCCTATGTTATTTTATTATAACGCGATTTTAATTCAATACGTAGTGTTTTTCAGGAGAGACTGTATTTGTTGACATAAAATGCCCAAGCAAGTGCTTTTTTAGTGAGGCTGATGGTAAGGCACCTCCCTCATAATAGCAAAACGTACCAGTTTCTCCAATGTTACCATTAAAATGGTAGCCCCCATTCCCCCCAACAGTATCCTCAGAGTAACTGACATGTGCATTATAAAACAAAGACCAGCGTGGCAAGGTATAGTAAAACCTTAATGTCCAGTTCAGCGTGGAGAGGCTTTCATGCACCAGAGGGTTGACAAAGGGATGCACGTTACAAGAACGTTGTACATTAAAGACACGTGTACATTGATACAATTTTACTTGAAGGATTGCAGGTCGGCAAGACGAGTAACACAAGCATCACAATCACATGGACGAACAACAGCTACGTCAACAGCTACACCTTCGAATTGTACGACAACGTTCAAAACGCATCCTCAAACTTCAGCACAGATGGGAGCGCCTACAACTTCACATTCACGGAGCTGGTTCCTGGCAGGTCGTACAGAATCCGTGTCACACTCGGCTGCGTCGGCTTCAGCAACTATTATGGCGAAGTGAACGCCCAAATAAGTGAGTGACTTACAGTTTGATGGAAACACGATTCAGAGTTTATAATTATTTTAGTTATTCCCCCCCCCCCCCCAATTTTGAGTACGTTTCACTGGCAATTGCAACCAACTTCATTAGCCGATTATGCCAGAATTCAAATCGTATTCAAATTATAAGTGTTGTGGGTTTACTCTCCAACGCACAACCATTATGCTGAACCAGGTAAGTAATTGGCATGTTTTGTTAACGTCACAAACCTTACTAATTGGCTATCGGGTAGTGGTGGGTTAACCACACATTTATATTTATGCGATCTAACCCAAAAAAAACATTTTACGAGTGCTTTATTCACTACATTCACTATGAACATTGTAAAAAAAACCCATCAATTATTGAACAGAATTGTGACCATTTCTAACATTGCATGTTAGGCGAATTGTTAAATGTCGGTTTCCATTTGTGTGTGTTTGTTTAAATTAGATATGGCAATTCGCTTGGCTGGTAATACCACCACATGTCAGGGCCGGGTGGAGGTGTTCTACAATGGCGAGTGGGGCACGGTGTGTGACGACTTTTGGAGCGCACAGGATGCCAAGGTCGTGTGTCGGCAGCTGGGTTGTGGGCTCACTGGCTTTGCCGTGTCATTGGCTTACTTTGGATTGGGCAGTGGCCTTATCTGGCTTGACGATGTTCAGTGCTCTGGTTACGAGACTCAGCTCTCCGACTGTAGTCATCTTCTCTGGGGGACACACAACTGCGGCCACGGTGAAGATGCCTCGGTCATCTGCTTGCAAGGTTACTTAAATGAATGTGTGTTGGTCAATAAGTCTGTGTGCTCTCTTGTATTGTTATTACATTCCCAAGAAAATGACGTTCATTGCTATCAAGAAATGTATTCTTTATCCACTTAAGATCAATTTCATATATGTGTTTCATGCATTATTTCGAAAATGTATCCTAAAACTGATATTTGGAAGTTTAAATTGGATTCAACAACAAATTTCCATTTGAAAAGTCACTTCATTGAGCTATAATTTTTGGCTCGGTCACTTCTGAAGAAGATCTACACTAAATAGCTCAGCGAGTCTTACCTGGTAAAATAAAGAATGTAAAATTAATTAAGTATCATTTGAATAGATAAAACTAACTTGAATAGGCAGAAAATGAGTGCAGGCCAGAAGAAAATAATAACTTACACGCAAAATGCGTCTAACAGCAACACGTAACTGGAATCTCAGCATTCTATGCGTGTTCAGATATTCCCAATATTTTTTGTGATATGTTAATTTTTCTACCTAAAAAATACAATGTATACATCAAATATTCATTCAATACAATATTCTCACGTTTTTTTAATTTACAAGTGAACAGTAAATCCATTAAACAATGAATATTCAACTCCAGGTACTAATAGGAATTGTTCATTTAATATTACAAATGAAACAATTTAAAAACATATTCCTTTCAAAATGATTAGATTTATATACTTTCATAAAGGGTGGTCACTACATCCACAGTTAAACATTTTTTTAAATTCGTCTGTCTATTAATAATTTGAACATTTTTTCTTAAAATAAGTGAATACTATCTTGATAAATTGTCACCCATGCCTCTTGCAGTGCCAAATTTAATCGTTTTAACCATCACCAGCAAGACTACCACGACCATGACAGTCTCAGGGACCACTTCTCTCCCGGAATTGTTCTCCTACTCGATCTACTTGCGAGAGACTGCGAGTGGAAACTTGGTTACAACATTCTGGATTTACTCAAACGTGACAACATTTACTGGCTTGGTTCCTGGAAGGAACTACTCTGTGTCTGTGGAGGCTTCCAATTCAACCTTTAAATATGAGTCAGATGTGGTCACGGACAGAACTTGTAAGTACCAATGTGGTCAACTGTTCAAACTATATTAAAATAGACAGAAATGTGTGTATGCTACTATATATCACTATATATAAAAGCGTATTTGTATTTTACATGTTGTATTACTTAATTTGGTATTGAAAACGTTTTACCACCATGTGATGCTGCTATTGTCTCTGCATGTAAAATAGACACAAGGCACGATTCACATGTTTATCATGATTGGCTACGTACAGTGCCAAAGAAGTTCTACATACATACACTCCTCACCTGACCTCGGTGACTCGGGTACAACGAACCTCCTTATCAATGTTTGCGGTATAAAGCCCAGCCCCGCAATTGAAACAACCCTGTGGGGCCTGAAACTAAACAGCGTTTTAAAATGTTCGTCCGTTTTATTGTAAACCCTTGACATTATGGCTGGGCAGGCCACTGGTAAACTACAGGGATCGTGGGCCTTATTCATGGAAACTCTGGCACAGTTATCTTTTAGCCCTCGTGTGATCAGAACACAAAACACGAGGATAAGGAGTGAGTTCGGAGTCGGGCGGTTCCCACCCCCGTGGATCTTGTTGTGGGCAGTGCATGCAGGAAGGTTGGTATTGCCCTCCTACCCCCCTCTGGGGATAGACGTGGATTCAGTCACCGCCCTGCGGGGCTTTTGTTATGACAACTCCACTTGGAATGTGGAGGCTCCCCCAACTTTTGTCCCGGATCCGTTGCTCTCCCCTCACCATATACTAATAACCGATGCTACCTCTCGTAGTCCGCATGTGTGTGGACTAGTGAGCCCAATCTCCTTCCCATCTATTGACCCAGGGGTATTGAGGGTCTCAATCCACATAATTTTTGTACCCCCCCCGCCCCCACCTTGTTACGGTCCGTGCCTTATACTGGGCTTTTGTTTTGTTGAAAATAAAACACGTACTTTTATCATCAATACATAGTTGGACCAAAATAAGAGGGCATATACTAAATATATGGTGGTTGTGGTAACATATGTGTTATATGCCACTTTAGTGGCATAAGTTAATGACATAATTCGCCCTTTCACTTCGACTCTCAATCATTTTATTTGACATTGCAGTGCCTCCAAAAGTCAATGTCACCGTCATCGTCAACAGACCTACAGCCATGACGGTCTCATGGGTGGCTCCTATTTCAGATGTTGACTACTACATAGTCTACTTAAATGAAACTAACAACGCATCAGTAGCACATCACTTCAATTTTTCCTCCAGTGTTACAATGCAGCGCTTAATTGGTTTAGTTCCTGGTAGAAGTTACCAGATATCTGTAACAGCGAACAGTGGCATCAACTCCCAATCATCAGCCATCATTACTAAAAGGAGCTGTGAGTATTTACATGTTTATATATTTATTGTTATTTGCGTTATAAAAATGTGTGCAGCCATGTTGAGAGAATTATAATTTGGATTGTAGGTTTTATTTTCGTGAGAATTTTGTCCAAATATTTACTTATTTAATCACTTGTTCACGAACAACATAGGACATCTTTACTCAGTGATTATACAGAAATGAATACCTCAATCATGGAGTTATCCATGTGTAATAAAGGACTCAACCACTGTGTCTGTCTTCGTTGTCCTTTATTCGGGTTCTTTACACGTGCCCACACGGCTCTCTCTCCGAGACTCCCCCGCTTGGCAGCCCGATGCTGCCGTCGCTCCCGTAGCCTCTCACTCCACTCTGATGCAGCTCCGCTGCTGATCTCCTCGTGCAGGCCTCCGGCTGCCCTCACTGCAGCCTCAACCGGCTCCCCGTTCCTCCCTGCTCGGTCACCGCTGGCCGACGGTGCCGAAACTTATCCTGGATGTGTGGCGATCTCGCCACCCTCCAACATCCGCCCTGCGTGGCCTCACTCTATATTTCTCTCCAACTCCCCCCCGCTCTTCCGGTTTCTCCCCCTTAAGACTTGATCCCTCTCTCCCACGTGACCTAACTACTCCCCCCGTGACGTCACATCCGCGAGGCCGTTTACACCCGCATTACACATGTGTGGAGGCTTCTAATACATCTTTCTAAACGTGGTCAGATATGGTAATGGACAGATCTTGTACGTACCGATGCAGTCAACTGTTCAAACTATATTAATATAAACATTAATCTGTGTATGGTACTATATATCACTATATATAACTGCATTGTGTATCTTACATATTGTATTACTTAATTTGATATTGCAAGCGTTTCGCCATGCAATGCTACCATTATTTCTGTATTTAAAACAGACAAATGCACGATTCACATGTTGGTTATGTTCACGTGAGCTCTTGTTTTGTTGCAAATCAAACACGTACTTTTATCATCAATATATATTTGGACGAAAAAGAGGGCATATAGAAAATACATGGTGATCGTTGGATATAATGTGTTATATGCTAGTTTTGTGGTTTAAGTTGAGGACATAACAGTTTTTTTGGGCTAGATTGTGTAAATTCAAATGGGTAGTTAAACCCACCACCACCTGACACAGCCAATTAGTAAGGTTTGTCACGTAAACAGAACATGACAATTCGTTGCTAGTGTAGTGACTGACTTGGAGACGTAACTCTTGGAGGCAACTCTTTAATTAACACCGAGCACACTGTTACACACTCTGCACTGTTACACAACGCTCTGTCTCTCGCTTAAACGCAACGCTATACTGGTTGCTATCCTACAACACAAAGCTAGCCATCTGACACTGACGGTGCTGAGCTAAGACAGCCAACTACTACTAGCAGCACAATTATGAAGTGGACGACGACAGGTGACGAAGGCACGAAACGAAAGCGGCCAAGGCGATATCAGCGACGACGACGACGTGAGGATCTCACTCCAATGATGGCGGCCCCGAGCCTTCACTCAGGGTCCCCTTTAATCCTGTTAGCATGGCCTCATTCCGCCCCAGCCACGCCCCCCTTCGTAAACTTACGAGCGGGCTCTCGACGCGTCCCTCTGTAACCTTTACCCTAGATTCTTCTCGGGTCTATCACGTGGCCTGCTATCAATCAGTGCTGCTTCACTCTGCAGATCCCCTTCCCTACCAGCAGCCAGCACTATGCTACGTAGTAAACCATTTCATGTCACTACACGAGTGTAGTACATTCGGGTATTGGAATGTAAATCCACAAAATTTACAATTCAAGAACGACGTTTCACCAGTAAATATAAATAGCATCATCAGACAACAGCCAGAGTTGTGGATAAATCCTCCTGTACGTTATTAAATAGAGGAATAAATGTGATGTGATCACATGAGCCATGTGAATGGATATTCGAATTGGAACTATGTATTATTTTCACGTGAAATTTCTCAAATTGTACTTATTTAATTGCCTATTTACGAACAACAAAGGACAAATTCACTAAATATCCATACAGACATGAATACCTCAATCATGGAATGATGCATCTGTCAATGTTAAGACCGGAAGCAGGTGGATGGCTTCACTATTCTGGCAAATCGCCTGACGATGCTGGATGCAATTTCCAGCGAACATCGCACTAAAATTGTAAATGTTGTGGATTCACTCTTCAAACACACCGGTCGGCTGAAATATAAACTCTTTGGCATTTTGTTTACGTGATAAATCCCTTACTGATTGGCCGTATCGGGTGGTGGAGGGTTTCGACACATTTATAAATAATAATGCGATCTAACCCAAAAACGTTTATTATGAACCTTTAAACAGCATATATACGTATCAAACACGTAATTGAAAACCATTTCATGACAATTTAAAACCAGCCTTCTATACTTGCAAATTGTAACTTTATGAATAGAAAATGTATTTGTGAAATGTGTAATGACCGAAAAATTACCTCAAGACATATGCAGCCTAATTGCTATTTAAAACTAAGCAAAGATCTCAAAAAATATTTATAATGAATATTATTGGTCGTGAAAGCCTACGTGTTACAAAGAAACAGCAACTTTTAACAAGGTCGAATATAAGAACTATATATGTTCAAATACCAGGATATATTATGGTTGGAGCCCATGGTGAACTAAATTTGACATGTAATACTTATATAATGTAATCCTTACATAATGCAAAGTATGTACTCACGTAAATTAAGGTCGATTGTTAACATTAGTCGTGAGTTAAGTTTGAACCAAGCCTGCGTGACCCACCTCCCCCATTCACCGTTTTTCATTAACCATGGTAATTAGGTTTTAGCAAATGTTCCTGCAAATACTGACTTTTAAACTACACTACAGGCTAAGCCAGCCTTTAATTTCATTGTATTCTATGGAAAATGATGTTTGCCTCAATTGTCACTTTTAAATATCCGTTTTCAAATGACATACTTTTCCAATCAACACATAGTTGGACATACAAGAGGGCATATATACCAAATATATGGTGATCGTTGTATCTAGTGTGTTGTATGCTACTTTTGTGAATTAAGTTAATCATTTAATTTTCCCTTGAAATTCGTCTGTTTCATGTTTATTTGACATTGCAGTTCCTCCACAAGTCACTGTTACCGTCATCGTCAACAACCTTACAGCCATGACGGTCTCATGGGTGGCTCCTATTTCAGATGTGGACTACTACGTGGTATACTTAAGTGAAACGTACAATGCAACAGCAGTGATGAGCTTCAATTTGTACTCCAACATTACAACACGAGCATTTACTAATCTTGTCCCTGGTAGAAGTTATAATGCGTCTGTAACCGCATACAGTGGCAACAACTCCCAACCGTCAGACATTGTCACGAGCATAACCAGTAAGTATATGCATTGTTTATATTCAGACAATTATTTCGGTGAGCACCACAGACGAAACACGTTTTCCCAAGCAATAGCAATCACCATAAATAGAATTCAGGTGTTTTGGCAATTGCTAAACAATTTTAAATATCTTTCGGAGACATACAACTAAAACACATTAGAGAATTGTACATAAGGGAGCTTTTGAAGGCAGATCTAGATTATGATAAAATACTGAACGCACGTAAGATTAAAAGTGCTCAAAGACTCGAAGAAGTGCATGCTGGGATTACACCAAGAGACAGGACATGTCATTAGAAGGGATGACGACCAGTGGTTGAGTGGCATCAATAGGAGGGAACGTGCCTGAGAGTGTATTCACCTGGGAGATGGAGTAATGAAATCAGTTCGTTGTAGGAGCTAGATGGGCTGTTACATTACAGAATCATCAGGGATGCTGATGTCTTGGGGAAGCCTTCATCCAGAAGTAGACTGTTCATGGCTGATGTTGACGAAAAAGGCTACGTGTAAAACTGTAACACCTGAAGATGGACGCTTGTGTTGCGACCGAAACGTCGTGTTTCTTTTCTTTTATTATTATTTTAATCTACGTGACTTTACCGAAATAACTAGAGAGTATGGATTCCTGCAGTCACGAAAGCTTCAAATCAAGTTTAATGAAAAAGCTATATATATGTAGTGTTCCATTGCATAGCACTATCGTTTCCAAGAATCAAAGTGGGAGCATACTTCACCGATCCTGAAAAATACTTCCAAGCTTCCCCAAAAGTCACCATAGGCCAATAATTGTCCACATTGACATAACATCCCCGTGATTGTGTCCAAACCGATTACCAAGGGGGAACTTGGCCAAAGCTGACTGGGGCCAATATTAGGAGACTGTAGAGAGAGTGGTGAGTCGAATACCCACGACACCGGAATGCTATCACTATGTTATTAGCCTCCTTACTGCAGCCGCCAAGAAGAGCAACCCGCGAGGCTTCTGCTGGACAAAAGAGACCCAGGACCTTATCCAAAAGTACAACCAGTTGGGCAGCCAGAGGTTGGATAGATATTCTTAGGTTTTTTCGGTAAAGTCACGTAGGTAAAAAATCAAAATTAATAAAAGTAAAATTAAATAAAAACAAAAATCACGACGTTTCGGAGGCAACACAAGCTTCCGTCTTCAGGTGGAACCGTCACAGCACGCTTGCTGTAATCAAGTAAATGAGAGATTCCAAGGGATACTACCCCGTATATATACTGGTTGAGGGGGGAGGGGGATGTGCCAGGACCGGCCCACTTTTATTATTATGGTAAGGTGCGGCTTGAGACTACGGCTAGTCTACATAACAAAGGACTGAGCCTTTATTATGGTAAGGTGTGGCTTGACACTACGGCTAGTCTACATAACAAAGGACTGAGCCTTTATTATGGTAAGGTGACAGTAACTCAAGAATAGTTGTCTGTCAAATAAGATGGTCCAAATATGTGCATGGTTAATCACATCTTTCTAATGATTACTCAGTTTGTACCCATCATCACGGTTGATGTAGACTATCCGTAGTGTCAAGCCGCACCTTACCATAATAAAGGCTCAGTCCTTTGTTATGTAGACTACCCATAGTCTCAAGCCGCACCTTACCATAATAAAAGTGGGCCGGTCCTGGCCCATCCCCCTCCCCCCTCAACCAGTATATATACGGGGTAGTATCCCTTGGAATCTCTCATTTACTTGATTACAGCAAGCGTGCTGTGACGGTTCCACCTGAAGACGGAAGCTCGTGTTGCCTCCGAAACGTCGTGATTTTTATTTTATTTTTATTTTACTTTTATTAATTTGGATTTTTTACCTACGTGACTTTACCGAAAAAACCTAAGAATATGAATACTTGCAATCACGAAAGCTTCAAATCTAGAATTAGGTTGGATAGACCCTGCTGGAGTCTTTAGACTCAGCCAGATACCAGCGGTGGATTGAGTGCATTGAAAGCCTGGACTTAATTCACTCCAGCGGCCATGCCTGGGCACTACTACGACACTGCTAATCCAACAATACTGGAATGCAAGAGTTCTGCTCAACTCTATACTCCAAACTAGTGGAAAACAAAATGACCGCTTGACAAAACATCAAGTGAGAGATCCATTGCCAATTACACCAGACAATGTCCTGACAAGACCCCACTGCCATCAACACAGAAGAAGGGAGGGACTGGCTAAAATGAAGAAAAATAAGGCTGCCAACAAATATGGTAATCACCCCCCCCCCCCCCCAAAAAAAAAAGATTCTTCATCACTTAGCTCTTAGGGACCTGGCAAAACTTTACACCAAAACCATGAAAATCAGATGAATCCCAAAAGAATGGTGGGAGGCAATGGTATTTGCAGTACCCAAACTGGGCAAGCCAACTGAAAACCTGGAAAGCTATAGTCCAATATCACTCAAGTGCACGACCTATAAACTCCTGGAAAACATCATCCTCCAGAGATTTGTCGAGTCTGATCCCTGCAGAACAAGCGGGATTCCAGCCTGGATGCAGCTGTCTTGACCCAATTTTGACCCATGCGATGCATATTGCGGCCATATTCTGGAAGAATTTCAAGACCAGCGCACACTCTGAAAGTGACCTTCTGCGGCAACAATGTGCGACATGACACCACTCTGACCTATCTGAATGAAGCTGGACCCTATGCTAATATTCTGTGACCACCTGAAAAAACAGCCGCCAAGATCAACACAAGGGTCAACCTGGTCTATAAACTGGCAAGCACAAGCTGGGGAGTATCAGCACCAGTGCTACGGACATCAATGGTGGTCCTTGTGTACTCTGCAGCCGAGTACTATGCATCAGTATGGACCAGAAGTTGTCACACTCGACTTGTTGATGTCCAACTGAACACGACAATGTGGTGCATCACTTGAACCCTCAAGTTCACTCCAACACCCTGGTGGCTGGCCGTGCTGCCACGTATCTCTTCCCCACCCATCCGCCGCTAAGCTGCAACCACCTGGGAAGTCCTGCGAATCGAAGAAAAAAGTCGCCTTGCCATTCATCATGACCTCACTAACATCCCTTGCCATCCCTTGAAATTTCACAAGCCTTTTTGGATCAATTTGCTTCACCTTAAGCAAGGCAAGTTCAACCCTGATGAATCCTGGAGAGTTGAATGGAGTTCAAAAGAACTCACAAACAAACACCTTGTGAAAGACACATTGCAGAATATCCCTGGGTTTAATCTTCGACGAAGCTCATGGTTCACCCTAAGCCACATCCACACAAACCATGACAGTACCTGATCCACAAATGGAAAATTTAAAACTGTCCAGTGTGCGACTGTGGTCATCCAGAACAGACACAGTACAACATATAACGACGCAATGCCCAATTGGCAAATACGAAGAAGACATCACGACGATACACTCCGCTGATCCTGGCAGTGTTTTCTGGCTTGACCTCCTGAATGTGAAATTGTAGTTGTTGCTCTGCATATAAATTATCCATGCGAAATGATTCCACCCCTCCGCTTGTATGTATGTTGAACTTAATTCGCACCATATGTAGACATCTTTGCAAGTAATAATTGCGAGGGATGGACAACGAACAAACAAAACGCAGTTCCAAATATATTTAGTTTCAAGTACCAAAGTACCAGTGGCTTCCTCATATTGGAAGAGTGTTCCAGACGTCTGCAGAAACGCATTTGAAAGCCTACAATCTACATTATCAATTAATGAAGCAACTATTCTCAGTCATATGGGTAAACATATGTCAATGCAAATCTCATCATGACTGCCAATAGATCTTCGTTTAAAGTTATCTCTGGATGTTGCCTAGTGATCAAGATGCAGTGCTTTTACCTCGACTATTCAGCCATTTATTGTGACATGACAATAGATACATAATGATGCATCGATTATTGCATCGAACTGCATGCATTGCATAGTGGGTTTGAGAAACGATTATTTGATATTCGTATACATGGTGTGTAATAATTGCATGTGACCTGCAGTCAATAGGAGTTTATTCAGTACATTCACCATGCACAATGTAAAAAAATACCCCATATATTATTGATCAGAATAATGACCCTGAATTGTAATTATTTATAATGTCGAATGGGAGGCGAATCGTTCCACGTCAAAATTAATATGTTTTTTTTTATTAATAGATATGTCAATTCGTCTGGCTGGGAATACCACCACATGTCAGGGCCGGGTGGAGGTGTTCTACAATGGCGAGTGGGGCACGGTGTGTGACGACTTTTGGAGCACACAGAATGCCAAGGTCGTGTGTCGTCAGCTGGGTTGTGGGCTCACTGTCTTTGCCGTGTCAAATGCTTACTTTGGATTGGGCATTGGCCCTATCTTGCTCGACGATGTTCAATGCTCTGGTTACGAGACTCAGCTTTCCGACTGTAGGCATCGTCCCTGGGGGAATAACGACTGCAGCCACTATGAAGATGCCTCGGTCATCTGCTTGCAAGGTTACTTAAACGAGTGTGTGTTGGTCAATATGTCTGTGTGCCCTGTTGTCTTATTATTGCATACCCAAGAAAATTATGTTCATTGCTAGCAAGAAATGTTTTATTTATCCACTTAAGATCAATTTCACGTGTGTTTCGTGCATTTTTTCGAAAGTTTATCCTAAAACTAATTTTTGAAGGTTTAACATTGGATTCAACAACACATTTCCACGTGATAAGCCACTTCATTGAACTATCATTTGTGAATAGGTCGCTTCTGAAAACATCTACAGTACATAGCTCAGTGGGTCTTACCTGGTAAAATAATGAAGGTGAAATTAATTGAGTGTTATTTGAATAGATAAAACTAACTTCAATAGGCAGAAAATGTGTGCAGCCCAGGAGAGAATGATAACTTAAATGCAAAAACGTGTCTAACAGCAACACATAACTGGAATCTCAGCATCCTTTGCGTGTCCAGATGACATTCCCATAATTTTTTGTCAAATAATAATTGTTAAAAAATACATTCTAAAAATACAAAATTCAGTCAATACAATATTCTCACATTTTTAAGTTGATAGGTAAAGAGTAAATTCATTAAACAATGAATATTCAACTCCAAGTACTCATATGAAATGTTAATTTTATATTACAAATGAAACAATGTAATGAACCATTCATTTCAAAATGATTAGATTATGAATGTATGTTAAAGGGTGGTCACTACATCCACATATTTAGTAATGTGTTAAATTCGTCTGTCTATTAATAACTTTAAATTGTTCCCGTAAAATGTGAAATACTATTTTGATAAAATGTCAGCCATGCCTGTTGCAGTGCCAAGTTACATCGTTTTAACCATCACGAACAAGACTTCCACGACCATGACAGTCTCAGGGACGACTACTCTCCCGGAATCGTTCTCCTACTGGGCCTACCTGAGAGAGACTGCGAGTGGAAGCTTGGTTACAACATTCCAGATTAACTCAACCACGGAAACATTTCCTGGCCTGGTTCCTGGTAGAAACTACTCCGTGTCTGTGCAGGCTTCCAATTGGTTCTTATCAACTTTGTCAGATATGGTCATGGACAGAACTCGTAAGTACCGATGTGGTCAACTGTTCAGACTATTAATATTGATATTAATCTGTGTGTTACTATATATTGTGTATCTTACACATTGTGTTACTTAATTTGGTAACGAAAGCGTTTCACCTTACAATGCTGACATTGTTCCTGTATTCAAAATAGACAAATGCACGATTCACACGTTGGTCACGTTCACGTGATTAACGTAACCAACTTGATTTTTGCCGTTTTTTGTTTTCGGTTACGAATTCAAGCTCATTGACATGCAAATTTCTCCAGCCCTCTCGTCCCTGCATGCCATAACCCCCCCCCCCTCTACCGTGAACTCCTGCAGCCACGACTCGACAAAACTCCTCCCCCCCATTTCGTGCCTATATAAAGCCACAACAGCAGATCATTTTCTCACCTGATGATGGACCGAAACGTCGTGTTTTTTAATTATTTTTTCTATCAACGTGACTTTGCCGAAAGAACCTGAGAGTATGTAAGTTCTGTTCATGACCACATAAATAGTCCCAAAAATGTTATTTAATTACCTATTTACTCACAACATAGGATATATTTAATAAATATTTGTACATAAATGAATACCTCAATCATGGAATGATGCCTCTGTCAATGTTGAATCAAAACGGTTATAAAACAAGTTGAAGAATCACAAGCCTATGAGCCTCTTATACCTACTATAATCACCCAGGAATGTCCTTAATGCTCGTGACGTCACTGCACATGAACCAGACCCCCCTAATTAATATTCATGAGCAGATGACGTTCTCCAAATTGACCCCCCCCCACACCTTCTCATTAATAATCATGAGCAGGTGGCGTCCTCCAATGGAAACCCCCTCCATTATTATTTCCTACTAAAATGAGCCAAGAATGCTTGTGTTCATCGCTCATGACGTCACTCCACGTCCACCAGCCTCCCTCATTAATAATCATGAGCAGGTGACGTCACTCCACATGGAGCACCCTCCCCCCTCATTAATAATCATGAGCAGGTGACGCCCTCCAAATGGACAACCCCCCCCATTCATAATTACTCCACATGGGGGACCGAGGCTCCTCCTCCCCCCTCCTTGGCGTCAACTTACAACCCTCACGACAAAGGCAGAACCCTCACCTCATGCGATCTCCGTAACGCTATTGAGACATAAAGGTTAAAAGGACGTCATCATGAACAAGGGATTAAAACCTTAAAATAAAGTAGGTCTGTGTCACCGCGCCCTTAAAAATTGCACACGAATGGATGCAATGAATATGAATCCCTTTGCGGACTGCTTTTCGCTTGCAAGTTTCAGATTTACTGCAATACACCTGTCCTTGGATGAGCAAAAGGCAAGTTATATATATATATTAACCGTTCCTGAAGGTCATCTGGAAGAGATCAATTGTAAGAGTATTTTTTTAAACATTGCAATTTCCCAGGAATTCTTCATAATTAAACCAGGAAATTTGTCAAATCAGCCAATCTCATTTGAATATTTTATCCACTCCGATTGCCGTTTCACAATTTCACTGAAAGTCAACTTTACTGACAAAAGCACGGACATCCATGACAGTCTCATGGGTGGCCCTTGGTTCTGACGTAGACTTCTACACAGCCTCCTTGTTAGAAATAGAAACTTGGAACCTGGTCATAGATATTAACTGCATACTTTCGAACACAATAATATTTAGCAGTCTGAGCCCATGGTAAACAATATTCTACATTACATAATAGTTACATCGAACATAGTTCAAGCTGTGGGTTTTTGGGTCTAAACATTATGCCCTATAACTGCAACTTACAAAGCACCTCAACAAATGCTCCCGACGTTTAAACTATAGTCTATGCCAGCCTTTCATTTCATAGTATGACAATTTTGTTTGCCCAAATTGTCACTTTAAAATATCCTTTTTTTTATTACAAACTTGTCTAATCAATACATAGTTGGACTAAGAAGAGGACATATATATATAAAACACATGGTGATCGTGGTATCTAATGTGTTGTATGCTAATTTAGTGACTTAGGTTAATCACGTAAGTATCCTTTGAAATGAATGTGTGTCATGTTTATTTGACATTGCAGTTCCTCCACAAGTCAATGTCACCGTTACCATCAACAACTCTACGGACATGACAGTCTCATGGGTGGCTCCTATTTCAGATGTTGACTACTACATAGTCTATGTAAATGAAACAAACAACTCATCAGTAGCATATCCCTACAATGTTTCCTCCAATGTTACAACGCGGCGCTTTATTGGTTTAGTTCCTGGTAGAAGTTACCAGATATCTGTAACAGCGTACAGTGGCGTCAACTCCCAACCGTCATCCATCGTTACTCAAAGGAGCTGTGAGTATTTTTCGATTTAAAGCTTTCGTGACTGCACGGATTCATCTCCTTGGTTCTTTCTGTAAAGTCACGTAGAAGGCAAATAATAAAATAATAAAAATAAAACGTCGTGAGAATTATTTTATTATGTTTTATTTTTATTACTTAGGATATATTTACTAAATATTTGTACGTAAATGAATACCTGAATCATGAAATGATGCCTCTGTCAATGTTGAATCAAAACGGTTATAAACGAGTTGAAAAATCACAAGTCTATTAGCCTCTTATTTAATATATTTTAACCGTTCCTGAAGGTCATCTGTAACATCAATTGTAAAAACATTTTTGAAAACAATGGAATTTCACAGAAATTGTTCAGAATTAAATCGAGGAAATTTGTCAAATCAGCCAATCTCATGTAAATATTTTATCCACTCCGATTGCCGTTTCACAATTCCACTGAAAGTCAACTTTACTGACAAGACACGGACATCCATGACAGTCTCATTGGTGGCCCTTTATTCTGACGTAGACTTCTACACATCCTCCGTGTTAAAAGCAGGAACTTGGAACCTGATCATAGATATTAACTGTATACATTCGAATACCATACTATTTAGCAATCTGCGCCCATGGTAAACAATATTCTACATTATATAATATTTACATCGATCATAGTTCAAGCTGTGGGTTTTTGGGTATAAACAGTATGCACTATAACTGCAAATTAAAAAGCACCAGATTCATGAAGAGTGTTTACTCTTTTTGTGGAATTCCGCTATCTGTAAATTTCCGATAAGCGACTGCGCTCAATCCATGTGCCAATTTGCATCCCATTTTACTGGGTAAGATTGGTGATGTCCCATTGCACCAAAAAACATCGCAGCGAATCGTGATCTGGGGGATCACCGAGGAGGAATCAGGGACAAAGTTGGCCAATAATCTCGCACATGTGCGCACATGATAATACATTGGCCCGTGCAGTGGCTCAAATTTCCGTGCTCTGTTATAATAACATTGGTTTGATTAATGGCCATAGCTAACATCAGTAGTGAGTTACGTCTTAATCAATCCTGCGACCCCCACCAACCATCCCCTCCCCCCTCCATAAATCACACTTGCCATGTCGATGAAGTCTTGGCAAATGCTCCCACCATTGACTGACTTTTAAACTAGAATCCATGCCAGCCTTTCATTTCATAGTATAGGAGTCCCTCTAACACACGACATGCGTTCATGAAAACCTGCGTGTAAGTGAAATCGCACTGTATGAAGCTTATTTTTGCATCGAATTGCATGTTATAGGGGGCTATACGTTACAGACCAAAAATGCAATATACAGTAATTAAATTCCATTATTTCAGCCATGGATTAACAAAATACATATGAATTTAAGAATGTGATTAACATGACAAAAATATGAAATTATTTTGATAACAAATATGGTAATACTTAAGATAAAAAATACTACTAATTACAAAACAGGTTACTTAATGACGAGTAATTTCAGGGCTTCTTGAACGCTTTCGAGGTCTGTTGCTGCTTCTAAGCCTGGAGGGTTGTGGGCTGATCGGTGCAGGACGCAGCGTTGCCCACGTGCGTGTTGAAGATGTTTTTAAATCCTTTATATTAAGTTCGCGTGCTTGCTTGCTTGCGTGCTTGCTTGCTTGCTTGCGTGCTTGCTTGCTTGCTTAGGACCGTGCAAATCTTTCGGTCGTTTTTTAACCCACTTCCCGTGATCCAATCGAGCTGACATTTTCCACACAGACTCGTTGTGCCAAACAATTATTGTTCGTGAAAAAAAATTCCCAAAATTTTACACTTTTTAGGCAAAAAAAATGTATTTTACATATATTCAAATAGAACGCATTCATGGCTTTGGCTGAACGTCAGAGTGTAAGAGCCCAGAGCGTAACCCCTCCAAAGGCCGTGGCGGAGTAGCGCAGTTGGTAGCGCCCTCGCTTCCCATGCCAAAGGTCGCGGGATCGATCCCCGCGTCCTCCACAGGCGAATATATTTTTAAATCCTTTATATTAAGTTCACTTGCTTGCTTAGGACCGTGCAAATCTTTCGCTCGTTTTTTAACCCACTTCCCGTGATCCAATCGAGCTGACATTTTCCACACAGACTCGTTGTGTGTGACAATTAATTTTCGTGAAAAAAAAAATCCAAAATTTTACACTGTTTAGGGAAAACAAATTAAATATTTAATTACCAATTGCTTAATGGTGGCAGACAATCATCAGACCCATAGGTGGCAGCCATCTCAAGCCAGAGGACGAGAGGACTCTAGCCGCCACGCATATAAAGGATTTATAGTGAAAAACTTTGTTTTTACGGGTTTACTTGTTACAAGTTCATTTTTTATTCAGCGCGTAACTGAAACCCAATAGCGTAAGTGTGAAGTATGTCCCTAACAAGTTAATTACTTAGCTCCAAATTCGCGCTTTGGGAGTGGTGGGAGGGAATGTGCAATGCGAGGGATGCCTGCATGGCAATTGTTTGCCTAAATTTCTGCTTTAACATTTCCATTTTAAGTTACATACTTTTCAAATCAATAATTTGACGAAAAAATGTGCATATTAAAATAAATACTTATCGTGTTATATGCCACTTTAGTGGCTTAAGTCAATGCCGCAAGTACCCATTGCAATTCGTCTGTGTCAATCGTTTATTTTACATTGCAGTTCCTCCACAAGTCAATGTCACCGTCACCGTCACCAGCCCTACAGCCATGATGGTCTCATGGGTGGCTCCAACTTCAGACGTTGACTACTACGTGGTCTATTTAAATGAAACTTACAACCCAACAGCAGTGAAGCTCTTCAATGTGTCCACACTTAAAACAAAAGAATTTACTGATCTGGTTCCTGGTAGAAGTTATGATGCTTCTGTAACGGCTTATAGTGGCATCTACTACCAACCATCTGCTATCATTACCAGAAGAACCTGTGAGTTATTGCCTGATTATATTTTCTTAAAAATTAGACTTTCAACTTTTGTGACTGCAGGAATTAATATTCTTGGTTATTTCGGTAAAGTCACGTAGATAGAAAACTAAAATCTAAATTAAATTATATCTACGTGACTTTACCGAAAGAACCAAGAATATATATCCATTGTTAATTACTATATAGACCCGTCATGTTCAGGGACATTATAATTTATATCATGCATGAAGTTTCATTTGGGCATGAATTGTGTCTAACAATGCACTATTACAAACTTGTCTAATCAATACATAGTTGGACTAAGAAGAGGACATATATATATAAAACACATGGTGATCGTGGTATCTAATGTGTTGTATGCTAATTTAGTGACTTAGGTTAATCACGTAAGTATCCTTTGAAATGAATTTTTGTCATGTTTATTTGACATTGCAGTTCCTCCACAAGTCAATGTCACCGTCACCATCAACAACTCTACGGACATGACAGTCTCATGGGTGGCTCCTATTTCAGATGTTGACTACTACATAGTCTACGTAAATGAAACAAACAACTCATCAGTAGCATATCCCTACAATGTTTCCTCCAATGTTACAACGCGGCGCTTTATTGGTTTAGTTCCTGGTAGAAGTTACCAGATATCTGTAACAGCGTACAGTGGCGTCAACTCCCAACCGTCATCCATCGTTACTCAAAGGAGCTGTGAGTATTTTTCGATTTAAAGCTTTCGTGACTGCACGGATTCATCTCCTTGGTTCTTTCTGTAAAGTCACGTAGAAGGCAAATAATAAAATAATAAAAATAAAACGTCGTGAGAATTATTTTATTATGTTTTATTTTTATTACTTAGGATATATTTACTAAATATTTGTACGTAAATGAATACCTGAATCATGAAATGATGCCTCTGTCAATGTTGAATCAAAACGGTTATAAACGAGTTGAAAAATCACAAGTCTATTAGCCTCTTATTTAATATATTTTAACCGTTCCTGAAGGTCATCTGTAACATCAATTGTAAAAACATTTTTGAAAACAATGGAATTTCACAGAAATTGTTCAGAATTAAATCGAGGAAATTTGTCAAATCAGCCAATCTCATGTAAATATTTTATCCACTCCGATTGCCGTTTCACAATTCCACTGAAAGTCAACTTTACTGACAAGACACGGACATCCATGACAGTCTCATTGGTGGCCCTTTATTCTGACGTAGACTTCTACACATCCTCCGTGTTAAAAGCAGGAACTTGGAACCTGATCATAGATATTAACTGTATACATTCGAATACCATACTATTTAGCAATCTGCGCCCATGGTAAACAATATTCTACATTATATAATATTTACATCGATCATAGTTCAAGCTGTGGGTTTTTGGGTATAAACAGTATGCACTATAACTGCAAATTAAAAAGCACCAGATTCATGAAGAGTGTTTACTCTTTTTGTGGAATTCCGCTATCTGTAAATTTCCGATAAGCGACTGCGCTCAATCCATGTGCCAATTTGCATCCCATTTTACTGGGTAAGATTGGTGATGTCCCATTGCACCAAAAAACATCGCAGCGAATCGTGATCTGGGGGATCACCGAGGGGGAATCAGGGACAAAGTTGGCCAATAATCTCGCACATGTGCGCACATGATAATACATTGGCCCGTGCAGTGGCTCAAATTTCCGTGCTCTGTTATAATAACATTGGTTTGATTAATGGCCATAGCTAACATCAGTAGTGAGTTACGTCTTAATCAATCCTGCGACCCCCACCAACCATCCCCTCCCCCCTCCATAAATCACACTTGCCATGTCGATGAAGTCTTGGCAAATGCTCCCACCATTGACTGACTTTTAAACTAGAATCCATGCCAGCCTTTCATTTCATAGTATAGGAGTCCCTCTAACACACGACATGCGTTCATGAAAACCTGCGTGTAAGTGAAATCGCACTGTATGAAGCTTATTTTTGCATCGAATTGCATGTTATAGGGGGCTATACGTTACAGACCAAAAATGCAATATACAGTAATTAAATTCCATTATTTCAGCCATGGATTAACAAAATACATATGAATTTAAGAATGTGATTAACATGACAAAAATATGAAATTATTTTGATAACAAATATGGTAATACTTAAGATAAAAAATACTACTAATTACAAAACAGGTTACTTAATGACGAGTAATTTCAGGGCTTCTTGAACGCTTTCGAGGTCTGTTGTTGCTTCTAAGCCTGGAGGGTTGTGGGCTGATCGGTGCAGGACGCAGCGTTGCCCACGTGCGTGTTGAAGATGTTTTTACAAGTTCTTTTTTTATTCAGCGCGTAACTGAAACCCAATAGCGTAAGTGTGAAGTATGTCCCTAACAAGTTAATTACGTAGCTCCAAATTCGCGCTTTGGGAGTGGGGGGAGGGAATGTGCAATGCGAGGGATGCCTGCATGGCAATTGTTTGCCTAAATTTCTGCTTTAACATTTCCATTTTAAGTTACATACTTTTCATATCAATAATTTGACGAAAAAATGTGCATATTAAAATAAATACTTATGGTGTTATATGCCACTTTAGTGGCTTAAGTCAATGCCGCAAGTACCCATTGCAATTCGTCTGTGTCAATCGTTTATTTTACATTGCAGTTCCTCCACAAGTCAATGTCACCGTCACCGTCACCAGCCCTACTGCCATGATGGTCTCATGGGTGGCTCCAACTTCAGACGTTGACTACTACGTGGTCTATTTAAATGAAACTTACAACCCAACAGCAGTGAAGCTCTTCAATGTGTCCACACTTAAAACAAAAGAATTTACTGATCTGGTTCCTGGTAGAAGTTATGATGCTTCTGTAACGGCTTATAGTGGCATCTACTACCAACCATCTGCTATCATTACCAGAAGAACCTGTGAGTTATTGCCTGATTATATTTTCTTAAAAATTAGACTTTCAACTTTTGTGACTGCAGGAATTAATATTCTTGGTTATTTCGGTAAAGTCACGTAGATAGAAAACTAAAATCTAAATTAAATTATATCTACGTGACTTTACCGAAAGAACCAAGAATATATATATTCATTGTTAATTACTATATAGACCCGTCATGTTCAGGGACATTATAATTTATATCATGTATGAAGTTTCATTTGGGCATGAATTGTGTCTAACAATGCACTATTACAAACTTGTCTAATCAATACATAGTTGGACTAAGAAGAGGTCATATATATATAAAACACATGGTGATCGTGGTATCTAATGTGTTGTATGCTAATTTAGTGACTTAGGTTAATCACTTAAGTATCCTTTGAAATGAATTTGTGTCATGTTTATTTGACATTGCAGTTCCTCCACAAGTCAATGTCACCGTCACCATCAACAACTCAACGGACATGACAGTCTCATGGGTGGCTCCTATTTCAGATGTTGACTACTACATAGTCTACTTAAATGAAACAAACAACTCATCAATAGCATATCCCTACAATGTTTCCTCCAATGTTACAACGCGGCGCTTTATTGGTTTATTTCCTGGTAGAAGTTACCAGATATCTGTAACAGCGTACAGTGGCGTCAACTCCCAACCGTCATCCATCGTTACTCAAAGGAGCTGTGAGTATTTTTCGATTTAAAGCTTTCGTGACTGCAGGGATTCATCTCCTTGGTTCTTTCTGTAAAGTCACGTAGAAGGCAAATAATAAAATAATAAAAATAAAACGTCGTGAGAATTATTTTATTATGTTTTATTTTTATTACTTAGGATATATTTACTAAATATTTGTACGTAAATGAATACCTGAATCATGAAATGATGCCTCCATCCCCTCCCCCCTCCATAAATCACACTTGCCATGTCGATGAAGTCTTGGCAAATGCTCCCACCATTGACTGACTTTTAAACTAGAATCCATGCCAGCCTTTCATTTCATAGTATAGGAGTCCCTCTAACACACGACATGCGTTCATGAAAACCTGCGTGTAAGTGAAATCGCACTGTATGAAGCTTATTTTTGCATCGAATTGCATGTTATAGGGGGCTATACGTTACAGACCAAAAATGCAATATACAGTAATTAAATTCCATTATTTCAGCCATGGATTAACAAAATACATATGAATTTAAGAATGTGATTAACATGACAAAAATATGAAATTATTTTGATAACAAATATGGTAATACTTAAGATAAAAAATACTACTAATTACAAAACAGGTTACTTAATGACGAGTAATTTCAGGGCTTCTTGAACGCTTTCGAGGTCTGTTGCTGCTTCTAAGCCTGGAGGGTTGTGGGCTGATCGGTGCAGGACGCAGCGTTGCCCACGTGCGTGTTGAAGATGTTTTTAAATCCTTTATATTAAGTTCGCGTGCTTGCTTGCTTGCTTGCGTGCTTGCTTGCTTGCTTGCGTGCTTGCTTGCTTGCTTAGGACCGTGCAAATCTTTCGGTCGTTTTTTAACCCACTTCCCGTGATCCAATCGAGCTGACATTTTCCATACAGACTCGTTGTGCCAGACAATTATTGTTCGTGAAAAAAAAATCCCAAAATTTTACACTTTTTAGGCAAAAAAAATTATTTTACATATATTCAAATAGAACGCATTCATGGCTTTGGTTGAACGTCAGAGTGTAAGAGCCCAGAGCGTAACCCCTCCACAGGCCGTGGCGGAGTAGCGCAGTTGGTAGCGCCCTCGCTTCCCATGCCAAAGGTCGCGGGATCGATCCCCGCGTCCTCCACAGGCGAATATATTTTTAAATCCTTTATATTAAGTTCACTTGCTTGCTTAGGACCGTGCAAATCTTTCGCTCGTTTTTTAACCCACATCCCGTGATCCAATCGAGCTGACATTTTCCACACAGACTCGTTGTGTGTGACAATTAATTTTCGTGAAAAAAAATAATCAAAAAAATATTTAATTACCAATTGCTTAATGGTGGCAGACAATCATCTGACCCATAGGTGGCAGCCATCTCAAGCCAGAGGACGAGAGGACTCTAGCCGCCACGCATATAAAGGATTTATAGTGAAAAACTTTGTTTTTACGGGTTTACTTGTTACAAGTTCATTTTTTATTCAGCGCGTAACTGAAACCCAATAGCGTAAGTGTGAAGTATGTCCCTAACAAGTTAATTACTTAGCTCCAAATTCGCGCTTTGGGAGTGGGGGGAGGGAATGTGCAATGCGAGGGATGCCTGCATGGCAATTGTTTGCCTAAATTTCTGCTTTAACATTTCCATTTTAAGTTACATACTTTTCAAATCAATAATTTGACGAAAAAATGTGCATATTAAAATAAATACTTATCGTGTAATATGCCACTTTAGTGGCTTAAGTCAATGCCGCAAGTACCCATTGCAATTCGTCTGTGTCAATCGTTTATTTTACATTGCAGTTCCTCCACAAGTCAATGTCACCGTCACCGTCACCAGCCCTACAGCCATGATGGTCTCATGGGTGGCTCCAACTTCAGACGTTGACTACTACGTGGTCTATTTAAATGAAACTTACAACCCAACAGCAGTGAAGCTCTTCAATGTGTCCACACTTAAAACAAAAGAATTTACTGATCTGGTTCCTGGTAGAAGTTATGATGCTTCTGTAACGGCTTATAGTGGCATCTACTACCAACCATCTGCTATCATTACCAGAAGAACCTGTGAGTTATTGCCTGATTATATTTTCTTAAAAATTAGACTTTCAACTTTTGTGACTGCAGGAATTAATATTCTCGGTTATTTCGGTAAAGTCACGTAGATAGAAAACTAAAATCTAAATTAAATTATATCTACGTGACTTTACCGAAAGAACCAAGAATATATATATCCATTGTTAATTACTATATAGACCCGTCATGTTCAGGGACATTATAATTTATATCATGCATGAAGTTTCATTTGGGCATGAATTGTGTCTAACAATGCACTATTACAAACTTGTCTAATCAATACATAGTTGGACTAAGAAGAAGTCATATATATATATATATAAAGCACATGGTGATCGTGGTATCTAATGTGTTGTATGCTAATTTAGTGACTTAGGTTAATCACGTAAGTATCCTTTGAAATGAATTTGTGTCATGTTTATTTGACATTGCAGTTCCTCCACAAGTCAATGTCACCGTCACCATCAACAACTCTACGGACATGACAGTCTCATGGGTGGCTCCTATTTCAGATGTTGACTACTACATAGTCTACTTAAATGAAACAAACAACTCATCAGTAGCATATCCCTACAATGTTTCCTCCAATGTTACAACGCGGCGCTTTATTGGTTTAGTTCCTGGTAGAAGTTACCAGATATCTGTAACAGCGTACAGTGGCGTCAACTCCCAACCGTCATCCATCGTTACTCAAAGGAGCTGTGAGTATCTTTCGATTTAAAGCTTTCGTGACTGCAGGGATTCATCTCCTTGGTTCTTTCTGTAAAGTCAAGTAGAAGGCAAATAATAAAATAATAAAAATAAAACGTCGTGAGAATTATTTTATTATGTTTTATTTTTATTACTTAGGATATATTTACTAAATATTTGTACGTAAATGAATACCTGAATCATGAAATGATGCCTCTGTCAATGTTGAATCAAAACGGTTATAAACGAGTTGAAAAATCACAAGTCTATTAGCCTCTTATTTAATATATTTTAACCGTTCCTGAAGGTCATCTGTAACATCAATTGTAAAAACATTTTTGAAAACAATGGAATTTCACAGAAATTGTTCAGAATTAAATCGAGGAAATTTGTCAAATCAGCCAATCTCATGTAAATATTTTATCCACTCCGATTGCCGTTTCACAATTCCACTGAAAGTCAACTTTACTGACAAGACACGGACATCCATGACAGTCTCATTGGTGGCCCTTTATTCTGACGTAGACTTCTACACATCCTCCGTGTTAAAAGCAGGAACTTGGAACCTGATCATAGATATTAACTGTATACATTCGAATACCATACTATTTAGCAATCTGCGCCCATGGTAAACAATATTCTACATTATATAATATTTACATCGATCATAGTTCAAGCTGTGGGTTTTTGGGTATAAACAGTATGCACTATAACTGCAAATTAAAAAGCACCAGATTCATGAAGAGTGTTTACTCTTTTTGTGGAATTCCGCTATCTGTAAATTTCCGATAAGCGACTGCGCTCAATCCATGTGCCAATTTGCATCCCATTTTACTGGGTAAGATTGGTGATGTCCCATTGCACCAAAAAACATCGCAGCGAATCGTGATCTGGGGGATCACCGAGGGGGAATCAGGGACAAAGTTGGCCAATAATCTCGCACATGTGCGCACATGATAATACATTGGCCCGTGCAGTGGCTCAAATTTCCGTGCTCTGTTATAATAACATTGGTTTGATTAATGGCCATAGCTAACATCAGTAGTGAGTTACGTCTTAATCAATCCTGCGACCCCCACCAACCATCCCCTCCCCCCTCCATAAATCACACTTGCCATGTCGATGAAGTCTTGGCAAATGCTCCCACCATTGACTGACTTTTAAACTAGAATCCATGCCAGCCTTTCATTTCATAGTACAGGAGTCCCTCTAACACACGACATGCGTTCATGAAAACCTGCGTGTAAGTGAAATCGCACTGTATGAAGCTTATTTTTGCATCGAATTGCATGTTATAGGGGGCTATACGTTACAGACCAAAAATGCAATATACAGTAATTAAATTCCATTATTTCAGCCATGGATTAACAAAATACATATGAATTTAAGAATGTGATTAACATGACAAAAATATGAAATTATTTTGATAACAAATATGGTAATACTTAAGATAAAAAATACTACTAATTACAAAACAGGTTACTTAATGACGAGTAATTTCAGGGCTTCTTGAACGCTTTCGAGGTCTGTTGCTGCTTCTAAGCCTGGAGGGTTGTGGGCTGATCGGTGCAGGACGCAGCGTTGCTCACGTGCGTGTTGAAGATGTTTTTAAATCCTTTATATTAAGTTCGCGTGCTTGCTTGCTTGCGTGCTTGCTTGCTTGCTTGCGTGCTTGCTTGCTTAGGACCGTGCAAATCTTTCGGTCGTTTTTTAACCCACTTCCCGTGATCCAATCGAGCTGACATTTTCCACACAGACTCGTTGTGCCAGACAATTATTGTTCGTGAAAAAAAATTCCCAAAATTTTACACTTTTTAGGCAAAATTTTTTTTATTTTACATATATTCAAATAGAACGCATTCATGGCTTTGGCTGAACGTCAGAGTGTAAGAGCCGAGAGCGTAACCCCTCCACAGGCCGTGGCGGAGTAGCGCAGTTGGTAGCGCCCTCGCTTCCCATGCCAAAGGTCGCGGGATCGATCCCCGCGTCCTCCACAGGCGAATATATTTTTAAATCCTTTAAAGCCGCTGAAGAAGCAAGACATCACTATAATCCTCAGCGATTTCAATGCCAAGGTTGGCCACGGTCGAATGCAGAACATTGTCGGAGAACACGGACTAGGAACAAGGAATGAACGAGGCGACAGACTGGTTCAATTCTGCCAAGAAGAACGTTTCAGTATTGCTAACACGTGGTTCCAATTACCACCTCGACGACTGTACACGCGGACCTCGCCGCAAGACTCCGACAACAACATCGTCAGGAACCAAATCGATTATATCCTAATTAACATCAGGTTTAAGTCCAGTGTGATTACAGCAAAAACCTACCCTGGAGCCGATATATCGTCAGATCATAACCCAGTAACAGCTACAATAAGACTCAAATTGCGATCAATACAATGTACAAAGACGAGACGAGCAGACCTGGAGAAACTGAAGAACAGCGCCGATAAAAGACAAGTACAGCAACATCTCAACGATAGCATCCGCTCAATAACAACAGAAACAGCAGATGTTCAGGAGTACTGGCGCTCGTTCAAACAATGCATCACAGAAACAACAGAAGTCATGCTGGGACATCAGCCACCGAAAAAGAAACAACGATGGATGACATTGTATTCTCGATCTAATGAGCCAACGAAGAATATACAAAAACAACAACTTGGAGAAGTACAAACAAATGCAACAGAAGATCAGAGAAGCAATCCGACAGGCAAAAGAAAAGTGGATGGAAGAACAATGCGCCGAGATGGAAGAACTAATTAAAAAACATGACAATTTTACTCTGCACAAGAAGCTCAAAGAAGCTGGTAACATCTACAGACCAGCCCCAACAGCTACCTTGTATGCGGACAACAACCAACCAATCCTAAATAAACAAGAAAAAATGGACACCTGGACAAACTATATACACAAGCTCTATGGCACCACGAGAACACCTGCAGAAAAAGACCAACAGATGTCGAAAGACGCTCTACACATTTTAACATCAGAAGTAGAACATGCAATCAAAACAGCTAAGTCAGGCAAAGCGTGCGGGCCCGACACAATCCATGTAGAATTGCTCAAACTATTAGACAGTAACAACATACGACAACTGACTAATTGGTACAATCAAATATACATTGGCAATAAAATTCCATCCGACTGGCTACAATCCATCTTTGTGGCCATACCAAAGAAAGCAACAAGCCGGAAATGCGAGGACTACAGACTGATAAGCTTGATGAGCCACGTGCTGAAAGTCTTCCTGAAGGTGATCCAACAGCGCATACGCTCCACATGCGAAAATGCATTGAAGAACACACAGTTTGGCTTCTGCAAAGGACTAGGCACAAGAGAAGCAATCTTCTGTCTACAGATACTACTACAGCGATGCTACGAACATCAGAAAGAAGTGTACATCTGCTTCATAGATTACGAGAAAGCCTTTGACTCAGTCGACCACGACCGACTAGCAGCTCTATTAAAACAACTGGGACTAGATAAAAACGACATCAACTTCATCATTGCTCTTTATTGGAAGCAAACAGCCCAACTCCGATATGACAACGAATTGACAGACCCAACACCAATACAAAAAGGTGTACGACAAGGCTGCCCACTTTCACCCAGTCTTTTCAACATCTACTCGGAGCAGATTTTTGATCGAACACTAGCAGATAAAAACATTGGTATTAAAGTCAATGGACAATACATCAACAACATCAGGTATGCCGACGACACTGCACTGCTGGCCGATTCGGAACAAGACCTACAACAAATCTTGGACGAGGTTGCCACAGAGAGTCAAATATGGGGCTTACGAATTAATAAAAAGAAAACAAAGGTTATGAAGGTCAGCCGAACTACAAGCAAAATAACAATCAAGCTTGGCAGCGAAAAATTGGAACAAGTACACCGATTTAAATACCTTGGTGTAATCATTGACGATCAGTTGAACCATGAAGTCGAAATCAAGAGCAGAATTGAACAAGCAAGGCAAGCATTTATTAAATGGAAAACACTCCTTGCAGACCGCAACTTGAGTACATCACTGAAACTGCGCACACTGAAATGCTACATCTGGTCAATTTTGCTGTACGGAGTAGAGACGTGGACATTGACAACAACAGCAACAAAAAGGCTCGAAGCTTTCGAGATGTGGCTGTATCGAAGGATGCTGAAAATCCCATGGACAGCTAAAACCACCAACACACAAGTTCTGCAAGATATGGGCACTGACAGGCAACTGCTGAAGACCATCATTAGCAGGAAGTGTTACTACCTAGGCCACATTGCCCGAAACGACCACAAATACCAGCTATTAAAGCAAATCCTGGAAGGAAAAATCGAAGGGAAAAAACGACCAGGACGGCCAAAAACGACATGGCTCAGTAACATCAAAACATGGCTACAATTAACAACAGCACAAACTCTACACGCCGTGCTAGACCGGGACCAATATCATCGTGAAGTCGCACACGCCGTTAGGCAGCACTAAAGAAGAAGATATTAAGTTCACTTGCTTGCTTAGGACCGTGCAAATCTTTCGCTCGTTTTTTAACCCACTTCCCGTGATCCAATCGAGCTGACATTTTCCACACAGACTCGTTGTGTGTGACAATTAATTTTCGTGAAAAAAAAAAATCAAAAATTTTACACTGTTTAGGGAAAACAAATTAAATATTTAATTACCAATTGCTTAATGGTGGCAGACAATCATCTGACCCATAGGTGGCAGCCATCTCAAGCCAGAGGACGAGAGGACTCTAGCCGCCACGCATATAAAGGATTTATAGTGAAAAACTTTGTTTTTACGGGTTTACTTGTTACAAGTTCATTTTTTATTCAGCGCGTAACTGAAACCCAATAGCGTAAGTGTGAAGTATGTCCCTAACAAGTTAATTACTTAGCTCCAAATTCGCGCTTTGGGAGTGGGGGGAGGGAATGTGCAATGCGAGGGATGCCTGCATGGCAATTGTTTGCCTAAATTTCTGCTTTAACATTTCCATTTTAAGTTACATACTTTTCAAATCAATAATTTGACGAAAAAATGTGCATATTAGAATAAATACTTATCGTGTTATATGCCACTTTAGTGGCTTAAGTCAATGCCGCAAGTACCCATTGCAATTCGTCTGTGTCAATCGTTTATTTTACATTGCAGTTCCTCCACAAGTCAATGTCACCGTCACCGTCACCAGCCCTACAGCCATGATGGTCTCATGGGTGGCTCCAACTTCAGACGTTGACTACTACGTGGTCTTTTTAAATGAAACTTACAACCCAACAGCAGTAAAGCTCTTCAATGTGTCCACACTTAAAACAAAAGAATTTACTGATCTGGTTCCTGATAGAAGTTATGATGCTTCTGTAACGGCTTATAGTGGCATCTACTACCAACCATCTGCTATCATTACCAGAAGAACCTGTGAGTTATTGCCTGATTATATTTTCTTAAAAATTAGACTTTCAACTTTTGTGACTGCAGGAATTAATATTCTTGGTTATTTCGGTAAAGTCACGTAGATAGAAAACTAAAATCTAAATTAAATTATATCTACGTGACTTTACCGAAAGAACCAAGAATATATATATCCATTGTTAATTACTATATAGACCCGTCATGTTCAGGGACATTATAATTTATATCATGCATGAAGTTTCATTTGGGCATGAATTGTGTCTAACAATGCACTATTACAAACTTGTCTAATCAATACATAGTTGGACTAAGAAGAGGTCATATATATATATAAAACACATGGTGATCGTGGTATCTAATGTGTTGTATGCTAATTTAGTGACTTAGGTTAATCACGTAAGTATCCTTTGAAATGAATTTGTGTCATGTTTATTTGACATTGCAGTTCCTCCACAAGTCAATGTCACCGTCACCATCAACAACTCTACGGACATGACAGTCTCATGGGTGGCTCCTCTTTCAGATGTTGACTACTACATAGTCTACTTAAATGAAACAAACAACTCATCAGT